CTATGTGATTGTGAGTCAAAAACTATTGCTCCTGGGGGTTCCAGTTCACACATGCATGGGTTACAAATATATTTAAGCATGTCTCTGTGACCAGTAGATGGCTTCAGACAAGTTCTCATACAATGAATACACTTGTCTTAGTCTCATTAGGGTACCTTCAGATCTAAATATAAAATTTTAAACAAAAGTGGACATCTTCCCAAATCATTGAAAGTTTCCAACAAATTTATGGGAATGCTGCCCAAATACAATGTTTTCAGATGAAGCAAGTGTTTTAAGGAAGGTGAAGATTTCAGAGACCCAAGAGAGGAAGACCACCCTCAATCCAATTGTATGAAGAAACTGTGGCTGGCATGCAAATAATGGTGGGAGAATTAACTATTGATGTAGCTACTGAATTTGGTATCTCATATGATTTGATAGTCCCACTTTTAAACACCTCTTGGCCTCAGTGAGCTCTCGGCTGGATGGGACATTGACAGGGAACTGCCAGAAATGCCGGCAGTATTCCAAAAAGTTGGAACAAAAGGGTATCATTGCTGATGTCAGATAGATCTTAGCTAAAAACAGAGGACACCAGATATTTACTTGTGTTTTAATGACTGTGCAAAGGCATTTGCTTGTGGATCAGAAACTACAGACAGCCTTGAGAAGAATGAGAATCCCAAAACAATTGTGTGATGTGGAACTTGTACACAGATCCAGAGACAGTTGTGCAGCTAGAACAAGGGAATACTTCTTGGTTTAAAATCAGGAAAGGTGTGTGTCAGAGTTGTATCTTCTCACCATTCTTATTCAATCTATATGCTGAGCAAATCATCAGAGAAGCTGGATTATATGAAGAAGAATGTGGCTTTCAGGAAGGCTTATTAACAATATGCAGATGACACAACTCTGCTTGCTGAAAGTGAAGAAGACTTGCTGAGAGAGATCAAAGTTTGCATCCTTCACTGTGGATTGCAACTTAAAACCCAAATCCTCACAAGTGGAAAAATGATTGAAGTTGTCCAGGATCTCATTTTGCTTGGACCCACAATCATTGCTTTTGGAAGCAGCAGTCACATGATCAAATGATGCATGCATTGGGTAAATCTGCTGCACAAGACCTTTTAGACTGTTGAAAAACAAGGATGTTACTTTGAGGACTAAAGGCATGCCTGATCCAAGCCCTGATATTGTCAATGGCCTTATATACATGTGAAAGTTGGACATTGAGAAGAACGAAGAATCCTTGTGTTTGAATTATGGTGCTAGCAAAGAATATTGCAAGTACCAGGGACTGCCAAAAGGACAAAGAAATGTTTGGGGATTACAGCCAGAATATTCTTAGAGGCAAGGAATGCTCCATAGACGTCTTCTCATGTACTTTGGACATGTTCTCGGGAGACACCAGTTCTTGGAGAACATCATACTTAGTAGAGGGGCAGTGGAAAAAAGGAAGACCCTTGACAAGATGGATGGACACAAGGCTGCAACAGTGGGCTCAAACCTAACAGTTTTGAGGCTGGCACAGGAGGACCAGGTATTTCATTCTGTTGTACACAGGGTCTCAGAGTTGGAAATGACTTGATGAACATTGTTTTACAGAACAGTGAAAACAATAGGGGCTATGAAGATGATTTTATAGAAAGAATCAAGCAGGGGAAGAATTTTAGATTTATCAACAATATCCAGAAAACAAGGCACAATCAAAGCAGTGGTTTCTGAGATCTGCTGGGCCAGTTAAATTCAAGCAGAGAATTCAGCTCAGAAGGCTGCTGCTGCTGTGAGGTACTGTCCAGCAGTTTCCCACTGCTAGTGCCCTTATGTACAACAGGAGGAAACACTGCCTGTTCCGGGCCATCCTCATAATTGTTATCTTTGAGGCCATTGTTACAGTCACTGTGTTAGTCCATCTCGTCAAAAGTCTTCCCTTTTCACTTTACCAAGCATGATGTTCTTTTCCAGACTGATCTCTCCTAAGGAGGCCTGGTGACTTAGTGCTTAGAGTTGGATTGCTAACTTCAGCAGTTCAAAACCACCCCTGCTCTGAGGGAGAAAGACTGGGCTTTCTACCCTGAGTCTTATGGAAACTCAGAGGCAGTTCTTCAGGGTCATGAGTTGGCTTTGACTTGATGCCAATTTGTTTTGCTTTTTTTTTTTTTTGGGGGGTGGGGTGGGGTTTCCTCCTGGTAACATGTCCAAAGTATGTCAGAAAGTCTTACCATCCTTACTTGGCAGGAACTTTCTGGCTGTACTTCTTCCAAGACTGAAGCAGTCCAGAAGCCTGAGGCAACATTTTTTGGTGGTGGTGGTGGTGGTGGTGGTAATTCCCAAGGTGTAATCTTGTTAGATTTTCTTGAAGGACATAAGATGATCATGGGGCTTTTAATTTTTGTATCATTTTATTGGGGGCTCGTACAGCTCTTATCACAATCCATACATCCATCGTGTCAAGCACATTTGCTAGCACTATTATTCTCAAAACATTTGCTTTCTACTTGAGCCCTGGGTATCAGCTCATTTTTTCCCCTCCCTCCACGTTCCCCTCTCCTTCATGAACTCATGTCATGGATTATTTTATCATCTTACACTGTCCAACGTCTCCCTTCACCTATTTTTCTGTTGTCCATCCCCCAGGGAGGAGGCCATATGTAGATCCTTGTAATTGGTTCCCCCTTTCCACCCTCCTGGTATCTCCACTCTCAGCATTGGTTCTGAAAGGAGCATCTGTCCTGGATTCCTTGTTTCCAGTTCCTATCTGTACCAGTGTACATCCTCTGGTCTAGTCGGATTTGTAAGGTAGAATTGGAATCATGATAGTGGGGGTGGGGAGGAAGCATTTAGGAACTAGAGGAAAGTTGTATGTTTCATTGTTGCTACACTGCACCCTGAC